GAATGAAGAGGCAAACTAAAATCATATTCTAAACTATTTTTAAAATTATTTTTATATGATGGTTCAGAAGCCTGAATTCATCTGCTTTTAAAGTAGCAGCCTACAACCTCTTACTTGTAACCTGTTCTTACAAACCAGTTCAACTGTCTTTCAGAAGATTGATAGACCTATCTGGGTGGGATGCAGATCTGGGTGGTATTCAGCAGGTTCTGACTAGTTCTGGAGAATCGGTAGTGGAAATTTTGAGTAGTTCGGAGAATCGGCAAAAACCATCTCTGACTGGACTTCCCCTGCCACGCACACCAAGCCATACCCAAGAACCAGTAGTAAAAAAAATTAAATCCTACCACTGGAGAAAAGCTCCAAGCTATTTAAACTAAAAAAGTGATGTACTTCTAGTTTTTTTTCCCCAAATGAATGGATTATACAAACAAAGGACTACTTCTACAAACAAAAGACAGCCATCTATTACTCCTATTTTTGTGATTTTGAGAAATTGAATTTTTTTATGGGATCCTTCTGACTATGACTACTCATTGCTATTATCTTGCAGGACTTAGTCAATTTGATTTATTGGTTGTATTAGAATGAAATTATCAAGATTGCTATCAATTTTTCTTTCTGCCCTAAGTAATGGGATAAAGGTAAATTTCTGTTGAAAAATTAACAGGTGAAGTGGAAGATAAGCTGGAGATATAAAGTGGGAGGAGCTTTTGGGGGATGCTATGTGAGCATCCTCCTGCTTCATCCCACTTCTTTCCTCTGCTCCTTTGGTCTCAAAGAGGCGAGTTAAAACTTTAGTTGTATAAGCTTATTATTTCATACCTAAATATAATTTGATCTAGTAATTAGAAAATCTAACATGGAAATTCTGACCACCTTTGCCAGCTAGTGTCTACTTCCTAATAGCTTTCCCCCCATGTTATTAGTACATTTACAAAAACATAAAGCTGCCATTTGCAATCTTTCTACATCTCCTTTGTTTCAGAATCAAAGTTAAATTTAAAAATTAGTAACACTGTCTGGGATAACTCAGTTTTTGTGATTGCTTTTGACATTATGGACAAATTTCTATCATGATAGTGTACATTGCACATCTAGTTCTTTTCAAAAGTAATACATATAATTATGGCCAATGATTGATGCAGATTTTGAAAAGTACTTTTTTAAATGTCCAATGTAGCATATAGTTATAGTGTTTAAAATTTAAGATTTGTCATTTCCTCAATTCTGCCATTTTTTACACATTTACAAGGTAACAGAATTACCCAAATTAAGTCTTCTTTTATATGATTCCCTAACCCGATTTCAACAGCTGAAGTGTTTTTTTTTGGAAATACTGGGAACTAATAGAAGTTTAGACCAAATCTACTAAAAACTCTTATAATACTCAACAACACTAATTACTAATTAATTTATAATTAAGGTTATCAAGATTATTATTATGCATAATCATTTCAAATAGTTTACATTCATTTTTAAAAGATTGGAAAGTGATTTACAGATTGAAAGATACCAGTTGTTTTTAATAGTGTTGTGTGTGATATATGAATTAGTATTATGTTCACCAACAAAACAGACTGCTAATCAAGTGGTTTACAGTTCTATACCTTGCCCAACCTATTTTGAAGACGTAAGTTGTATAATAAGTGGAAGGTAATTGCAAGGAGTTGGAAAATATAACTTTCATTATATTAATAGAAGACTTTATAATATTGGCTATAAACTTTATGGGGCAACTAATATATCGGAATAGCATGTTCTCTTGTCTAGTTGAATAATAAATGGAGCTTTTGCTTGAAGATCGTACAGTCATTCAGGCCACCCACACTTTCTTTCCTCTTTTTTTCCTTCATCTTTTGAGGTCAACCCATTTTTCAAATGCTCTAAAATGGGAGGCAATATGTTGCCATTGTGTTGTAGAGAGAAAGAAATTACTTTTTCAGTTCCCAGGAATTGAATTGGAGGGATATCTTGTGATTACCTTTTCACAACTGGAATATAACTTCCTTTCCTTCCGCCATATACTGCTCCCTCTCTGTTCATGTCCAGGCTCACACATGTTTTCAGATCTGTGTACCTGGAATACATTCTCCAACACTTCAGCATGAGTGTTAGCAGAATGCAAAACAGATGGACCAGCAGTTGCCAATGTTATCTTCTGGCCAGCTCTGGCAAGTCTCTGTTCTCTCTCCTTTCTTGGCATGGCAGACATATCTGCCTTTATTTAGGACAGCCTGTATTCCCTGCCATGCCACTTTTCCTCTATTGCATTGTAGGCTAAATGCTATTTATTTTCTCGCTGCTGAGACTGTAGGTGAGTGCAACAAACAATTAACATTTCCAACTTGTTGGGTTTAAATTTGCCTATTAAATATTTGATCACAGTATCAGCCAAGTGATTCTTTTCCTAGGGAACATTGTTTGTTTATAACACTCATCTTCACCCATTTCTGTAGATATCTTATTACTTAGTCCCACAGTTTGCAAAGTGCTTTACTTCTTAGGTTTAATTTTATAAAAAAAATGTTAACTCTGATAAGTTCTGATAATGAAATGATGATTCCCGGTCTTTATTTTCCATTACAAAATTCTAATTTGTCTTAAAAGAATTTTTGAAAAATAAATGTTTGATTTGTCTACTCAATTGAAATTATAACCTGAAAGAGTCAGAGCTTCTACAGATTCAAACATGAGGTTGTTTTCGTACAGTTACCGCTCACTTCAGTGGGGTTCCCGAATTGGATTTAATTGTTTTGGATGTTACCCAAAAATATTTTTTTCATCAATCTTGTACTTTTGTGCCTTTGATTTTTTAAAAACAAAGGTTTATAGAAGGATTTTTTTATTTGTTTTACCCATTGTGAGCTGCAAAATAAATCATATAGGAAATCAGACTGGATTTAGCTATATTTATTTAAATAAGTGTTCGTATTTCAGTCACTGTCATTTAATGATTAGACTTCTTACTCAGGCTTTTAATTCAATGCTATTAAATTTAGCATCATCTTAATATTGTATCTTCTGCCAAGGAAAGTGGCTAAGGGACTATCAATACAGCCAATATAAACAATTGGGGTGTGAAAGAGAAAAACATGAAACAATGTTTTGCCTTTTTTACTTCCATAGAGATTTCTATTAACCGCTAGTTTGATTTTTAAAGTCTAAATGGCAAATTATGTTTACTAATTTTTCTCTATCCACAAAGATAACTTGATATAGTATTTTTCCAACGTTCTTATAAAATGTAGCACTTTTATACTAGTAAGTTTGCAAAGCATGTAACATCATCCCTGACTAAACAACCTTCTCAATTTTTTTTTCCTGAAATGTCAAATTTGATAATTCAGAGACTACAAGAAATTCAAACAATCCACCTTATTTAAGAATAAATCACACAGTTAATTTGCAGACGTTATGTGGAATATTAACCATGCTATTAAGGGTTATGTGTGGTGGTTTGTAAAAGCTTTCATCTTTACACAGACCTTACAGCTATTAGGTTGCTTGCTGTGCGCATGTATCAATATTATAGGAGAAAAATGGTATAGGAAAAAGACGACAGTATCTTGCTAGGCCACTTAATCTGGAAATATAATGAGAAAAAATGTGTAATCATGAGCTATATTCAGAAAAGTTTCCAGTTTTGTAGGTGACTTTTAAAATTAATTAATGTTGATGTATATTAAAGTATTAAATCCTTAAATGGCATATAAAATGTCTTCTTGGCATGCTTATACGCTACATCACCAAGAGTATTTAATAAGAATGTATCTTACATCAGGTCTTAAATGTATTAACTTGGAAGTATTGCTGCAGCTTTATTGTGAAACATGACTGGGTGCAGGGATATAGTTATAATTGATTGCTTGTATTCAGTGGTGGGTTTTTGCTATAGGAACACCCTTTTGCTCAAGCAAGAGAGAAGGTAGTTACAACAGTTCATTTAGTGACCTTTCAAAGATACAACAGCACTGAAAAAAGTAACTTATGATGGTTTTTCACATTTATGACCATTGCAGCATCCCCGTGGTTATCTGACCAAAATTCAGATACTTGGCAACAACTAGTTCATACTTACAATGGTGGCAGTATCTTGGGATCGTGTGATCAGCTTTTGCAACCTTCTGACAAGCAAAATCAATGGAAAATTTGAAATTTGAAATGAAAAACCGTGCCACTAACTTAACTGCAGAGATTCACTTAACAACTGTGGCATGAAAAGACATAAAATGGGGCAAAGCTAACTTTACAAATATCTGACTTGGCAACAGAAATTTGGAGCTCAATTGTGGTCATAAGTTGGGGATTACCTGTTCTTTCAGCAAGCCACATCGCAGACTAATTTTTATTAAAAACAATGCATTGGTAAAGCTGGTGGAATATGCCCTTGCATGTACAATCCAAACTCTTAATAGTGAAGAACTGGATCTTTCTAACTTTCATGGATTTATTTACAGTGTTTGGCCATAGAATGGCAGTGCCAGGAAAATAAAATAGAGTAAATATCAAATCTTAAAAGCGTTGTGTAGCTGATCTTCATGAAAGAATCATAATGCCAGAATTTCTCAGTCATTGATTATTTAACAGATTTAACAGATAATCAGAGTTGGAAGGGACCTTGTAGGTCATCTAGTCCAACCCCCCACCCAAGCGGGAGACCCTACACCATTTCTGACAAATGGCAGTCCAATCTCTTCTTGAAAGTCTCAAGTGATTATCTTCTTGTTAAGGCTATAATCTCTTTATACCAAACATCATTCTTCCATCTACAACACCACCTGAACTCAGTTATAGAAAAGTTAAGGATAATGCTATCACACATTCTGGTTCACTTTCAATAACTGGGAAAAAGAGATTCTCAAATTAAAGAAAGTTATCCAATCCTAAAGTATATTTGTACATCTGGGAACTGAAAAATGTTACATTTGATAGCTGGTATTTTTGCTACCATTGTTCTTTGCATTTATTTCATCAGGTACACTTTTTATCTATTACAGATCGGATTGAGAAGCATTCCACAATGCCAGATTCACCTGTGGATGTGAAGACACAATCCAGGCTGACCCCTCCAACAATGCCTCCTCCCCCAACTACCCAAGGAGCACCAAGAACCAGTTCTTTCACACCCACAACATGTAAGGCAGAAACTTCATTGACCAATAGAAGTACATTCAATAAAGTGAACAAAATAAAACTGTCCACTAACAATAAGAACTATTGGTGTTTTGTGAGTGATGTTTACACATAAAGTAGTAAAATTCACCCACAACATGTGATCATACTTTTCTTCTATATATGTTTCTGATAAGAAAAGTGAAGCTTGAAGCAAACATCTTGATCTTTCTTCTGGCTTTCATATTCTCATTTTGGATAGCAAGAGATAAGAGACAAACTTTCTTTCTAAAACCAAGAGTCATAATATTAATTAAACTGTTAATTGTCCCCTACACTATACAAATCTCCAGCATTGCTTATCCTTCTTTCCAATTAAATAGTTAAGATTATTGTTCGTTTGCATTGTAGAATTCTAAATAAGAGCTGATGCTGATAGAGAAAAAAAAATGAACTTTTTTGATAACCAAATTAGCCATTTCCAAGTTACTACATTGATATATCTATCCGGCTGATTGTGGTAGATTTAAAGCTCACTCATTTTTAAAAGCAGCTCAGCAACTATTTAGATAGAAAGTAGTGCCTCAGTTTATAATAATTGTAACTCAACTTCTCTAACCACGTAATGACAGAGATGCTATTATATATTTCTGTTTTCCTGTTCTATTTTCAGGAGCATTGTTTCCCCACTGTCAGCAGCTGTCTGGTTTTATCCCTATTCTTAGAGTATATTGTGATAAGTAACATCTGTATACATGCTCAGATAGGAGCAGTGCCAGAAAAAAACCCCATCAAGCTGTACTTCCTCATATTTCCGTATATTATTAAGGGGAGGTTATTTAAAACTGAAAAGTATTGTTATAACCTCGAAAAGTAGAGATACTAATAATATATGCACAGTAAGTTATTTCAGATTAGAAGGGAAGGGTTGTGAGTGCATACACACACACACACACACACACACACACACATACTAGCAAAAATAAAATTGCTACCTACAATCTAGGTCCAGGTAATCTAATCCAATCTTCTCTGTGAAGGTGCTTTTAAAAAGTGTACTTTAAAAAAGTGTAAAGTCTTCAATGAATCTGTTTCACTCTTTTATAACTTTTCAAAAGTCCAAGTATGATTATGGCAAGCCTGGGCTCGTGATAGATTCTTTTTTTCTGTTTTCAGGTACTTCTTGCAGTGAATTTATAATCACAGAATTTTGCTTCATGATATTGTTGTTCTACACTGTTATGAGATCAGCATCATTAGAGCCTTACTCATCTGGGTTTGAGTCCCTCAAAACCCTCTCAGTCTGGAATATTTCATTATACATTCAAGAAGTCCTGATAAAAAAAGAATCACATCCTGAAAATTGCCCAGTCAATTCATGAAGCACAGTTTTGAAAACCTGCACACTTTACATAATGTAACATGTGCACAAATCATATTTTTATGGATTTTTATGCATAGAGCAATACGATCAACACAATTGGGAATTTAAGGAACTTGTGATCAGACAGCAAATGCATTTTTTAAAAAAGAAGTCTTTCTCTTTTATTCTTTCTTATGGAAGCCAAGAGAGAAAATTAAAACCATACAAGTTTTGAGTCACAGTTTTAAGGAATGTGCTGGGTTCCTTACTTTAAGCCCACAAGATTTCAACATTATGCAAACAGTAATTATTGGTTCTAAAAGTTTTTTTGGATAAACTTCATAAGAATGTTGTTTTGAAAAAAGAATGGAAAGTTTCCTAGGTATGGCATCTTAATCTTCTGGAAGAAAGGTCAATGAATACTTATATGTGTGTGTGTACATTTTAACAGAATGCTTACTTTGGTAATCAGGTTTTCATTCCATTAAAATGTATCGTGTGCTCCTGTTGAAGCCAACAATTATAATTGCAAAACTATATGCATTCAAAGTTTTCTTCCTGAAAGACAATAGGAAGCTGTATATTTGCATCCTATTTAAAATGTACAGAAAATATATAGTTATTCAACATGTTGTTCTCTTTTAGGATAAGATTAACGTTAGGCCTGAGAAAAAGCTGAGGGACTTATTTGGATTTTGAAAGCATGTTGGAGGAACCCTAAAAAAATAGCTGGGATTGATTGTTTGCAAAATGTTGCTATGATTGATGTAGTTTTTGCAACTAATCCTCTGGTACTCTAATTTTAAATTAAAGTCAAATAGGATAGGGAACTCAAAGAATCCACAGGCCTATTTCTGAGGATTTAATAAAAGAGAGCTATTGCCCAATGCTTTTTTGAAATCTAAAGCGCTTATTGCAATTTAGCTACAGTATGTTTACTATCCAAGAAAGCAAGAAGTTGGTGAACTAATAGGATAATAGAGTTGGAAGGGACTGTGGAGGTCTTCTAGTCCAACCCTCTGCTTGGGCAGGAAACCCTATACCATTTCAGATAAATGATTATCTTTAAACCATTGCATTTCACCATTGTTTATTTGTACCAAATACTGCCTTCAGAAATATTCTAACTTAGGGAAATATGAAGCTGAAAAAGCTCTGATAACATGTCTTTCCCTTCTTCTTTCCTTTTTCAGTAACTAATGGCACGAGCCATTCACCAACAGCTTTGAATGGGGCTCCTTCCCCACCAAATGGCTTTAGCAATGGCCCATCCTCCTCCTCCTCCTCATCTTTGGCTAATCAGCAACTACCACCAGCTTGTGGAGCTCGGCAGCTTAGCAAACTGAAGAGATTTCTTACAACCTTACAACAGTTTGGCAATGACATTTCACCAGAGATTGGGGAGAGAGTGCGTACCCTTGTGCTAGGACTTGTGGTAAGTGAATTCAGTGATTGAATGACTGTGGATTTCTTTCTTTCTTTTCAGACTTTCCTTGAAACCTCCCTTTTATTTATATACCTGGCAAGAAGATAAGTGGTACTTACGTTTTATTTATTTCATTTATACCCCAGCATTCTTCCAAGGGGCTCAAAGGAGTGTTTTTAGCCTGAGCTATCCTGTTGAGGCAAGTAAGTCTTAATAATTTGCCCAATCTTTGAACCCTGTTTGAACTCTGGATTTCCATAATACTCTAAAAAAAAATATTCCTGTTTCCTGATTTTAGAACTAAAGACTGTCCTGCACATATTATGATTAGAATTTTAGGACAAAGAAGGAAAGTACTTTATCACACATCCCAGACTTAATTTATAAGCTGATTAGCGCAAGATAAGGTGATGGCCATTAAAAGGCATCTTCATGGATCTTAGGAGCCATGGTGGTGCAATGGTTAGAATGCAGTATTGCAGATTGACTCTGACTCTGCCCATTGCCAGGAGTTTGATCCTAATTGGCTCAAGGTTGACTCAGCCTTCCATCCTTCTGAGGTCGATAAAATGAGGACCTAGATTGTTGGGGGTAATATGTTGACTAAACAGCTTAGGGAGTCCTGTAAAATACTATGAAGCAGTATATAAGTCTAAGTGCTATTGCTTAGATCTCTCAGTAGCTATTAAAAACAACGTAGGATTTGAAACCATTTCTGTTAGACTTCCAATCATATATGTTTTTTGTTTCCAGAATACTATGGCTGTGCCACCATGAAAGGAAAATAATGGATGTTATGGTCTGATTCAGCATACCTCCTATGTTTTGTATTCCAACAGTAGTAGATATTGAGCTTATGTTCTATTTAAATGAAGAATGTGGGTTTATTAGTACTTTTATGTCTCAGATACTCAAATTAAATATAGGTTTCAGCAGAGCCTTCACATATTTTTTTAACTTGGATTGTATATAAACAATGGAGAATCATGAAGTACTCAGGGTCAATACAGGTAGTCCTGGACTTACAACAGTTCGTTTATTGACTGTTTGAAGTTATAATGGCATTGAAAAAACTGACGGATGACCCTTTTCATACAAATGACCATTACAGTATATCCATGGTCACGTGATCAGATGCTTGACAACTGGCTCATATTTATGACGGTTGCAGTGTCCCAGGGTCATGCGATCACCTTTTGTGACCTTCTGACAAGCAAAGTCAATGGGGAATCCAGATTCACTTAACAACTGAGTTACTAACTTCACAACTGCAGTGATTCACTTAACAATTGTGGCAACTAAGGTCATAAAATGGAGCAAAATGCATTTAACAACTGTTTCACTTAGCAACAGAAATTTTATGTTCAATTGTGGGTATACGTTGAGGAGTTGAGGACCCCCTGTACTGAAAATAACCTTCAACATGGCAGCTGCATCTCATTCTGAGTTTACAACTGATTAACACACACATACTGCACTGTATAAATTGAATCTCCAAAAATCTTTATGGAAAACAATATAAAAAAGTCAATACATACTGAGTTATGACTGGGCCATTATTTACTGTCTTGAAGCTTTGTACCAATAGCAGTATGAGTAGTAACTGTCATGCAGAGACAATTGACTGTTAAATAGATGTTTCTGCTAGTTTGGTACTTTCCCCAAATATATTATCCCTTTTCTGTTTGTCATACATGAGGTACAAACATGACTGCATAAAGACATGAATTTAAATGAAACCAGACCTTTTTTTCCCCAGAACAAATATAATCTTAAGGGTAATCTGAATTACAGAAATACAAAAACAAAATGATGGTATTTTTAATACTATATTAATGTGAAGTTTTTCTTGGGGTAAAATACTGCAAGCCTAATGTATATTGCCAAAACATTTCTATTATCCATTTTACAGAGTCAGATTTTTTTTTTCATTCAACAGAACTCTACTTTGACAATTGAAGAATTTCATTCCAAACTGCAAGAAGCCACTAACTTCCCACTGCGACCTTTTGTCATCCCATTTTTGAAGGTATTGCACAGATCATTGATCTGGAAACTATTTTAAACCATATCATTGCTCGGTCACAGATGTGTATTATAGTTCTGCTTTTTAAGAGAGTGAGGAAAATGATTCTCATTTTTAAGGGCTCCATTCTTAGCGTAAGTGGGATAAACTCTTTTAGAATAATTAGTTCCTATATATTCATAGCTAACTAGACAGAATTTGTCAGCTCTATAACATCTATTTTCATTCTATATTCAAAGCACCATTATAAAATCATTTTTCAGTTGTGTTACCTCATACTCTGTTCAATCCATTTTCTCCTGTGTTTGGTTGATTGACAATACCTCCTTCACCAGATATAGCTTCATTGATCCAACCTCATGCACAGCTTGGTTTATTATCAGTAGCAGTAAAAAATGAAATCACCTAATAATGTTCCTGCTGTTTCAGTAGCAAGGTTCAAGCTAAATTTCTGATACTCATATTTAATAAGGTGGAAAACACCAGCTTTACCACATCCTGTATCCACCATTCATAAGACAACTGAAGGGAGTAATGGGAAGGGTGGAATATGCTATGATAGATGATAGATAGATAGATAGATAGATAGATAGATAGATAGATAGATAGATAGATAGATAGATAGATAGACAGACAGACAGACAAGACAGACAGATCGATCCGGGGTCTTCAAACTTGACAGCTTTAAGACTTGTGGACTTCAGCTCCCAGAATTCCTCCTCCAGTCATGTTAGCTCAGGAATTCTGGGAGTTGAAGTCCACAAGTCTTAAACTTTCCAAGTTTGAAGGCCCTTGAGATAGATAGACAGACAGACAGACGGACAGACTCAACACATCCAGTTGATCCCAAGAGAGAACTAAATTGACAGAGATTGCCACTATAGCTACTCAAGTTCTGTATAAACACTGCTAGCTTTTTGGCACAATATATATTGCACTGGAAGCTAATTGGTTGTTCTGACCTAGGCATCACAAAACCACGAAGCAGACTCCTTGTCCTGACAAAACCCCTTTTATTTAGGCTAATTCCTCATTCACATCTAGCAAAGTCCCAGCAAACAGTCTTTCAAGAGTACAATCACAGGCCTGGAGATAGCCTGATAGCCTTATCAGGCTGATGGCTTCCAAGCACAACACTTTAGCAGAAAGTACTTGGCAAGGAGTCAGGAACAAATCTTCAACCTAATTAAATGAACTAATTATCTCCTGCAAACACCACTCTCCTTTTGCTCTCGAGTTGACCCTTGTTCCTTAACTATTCCCTTCTCCTGGCAACTCTGTGCATGCACATATTGGGAACAGGCTCCAGCTGTTCTTCTGCCCCACTGCTCTCCAACTCTGAAGGCAGCTGATAATGTTGGACGACCCTGGCCCCATCTCTGCCTCCAGCGCAGAGTACTTGTCAGAGCCTTTCCCAGACTCCAGGACTGGCCCATCTTCCTCCCCAACCTCCTCACTGTCTGAGTCTGCCACCAGCTCCACTGGCCGCTGGCAAGCCACAACACTGTCACTGATGCAGTGCATGAAGCAAAGGTGTTATATGGACATATCCTCTTCTACCTGGCCTTTGCATTGAGTGATATTCAAGAGCTGCCCTATGTAGAGTTTATTCAGTTCATTTCACACATGATGTGATGACAACAAAGCCCATACACAGATAGTTCTCCACTTACAACAGTTCATTTAGTGACAGTTCAAAGTTACAATGGCATTTTAAAAAGTAACTTATCACCGTTTCTCACATTTACAACTGTTGCAGCATCCCCATGGTCACATAACCAAAAGTCAGAAACTTGGCAACTAACAATTCATACTTATGACTGTTGCAGTGTTCCCAGGATCATGTGATCACCTTTTGTAACTTTCTGACGAGCAAAGTCAAAGGGGAAGCCAGATTCACTTAACCCTGTTACTAACTTCACAGCTGCAGTGATTTATTTAAACACTGTGGGAAGAAAGGTCATAAAACTCACTTAACAAATCTCTCACTTACCAATATAAATTTGGGGTTCAACTGTGGTCATAAGTTGAGGACTACCTGTATATACTTTGAAAAGACTCTTCTCTGAAACTTATACAGTTGAACATTACAAAGTCCAATCAGAATCACCTGCAGGATACAGTGCTTTCATCAAAATAATGAAAACAGAATCATACTGCACACTCCACCTTACAAATACTGCACATGTCTACAACACCACAGTACAGAAGCAAAAGGGGTGAAGCTTTTTCTCAGCAATATCTTTAATCCAGACAGCTAGGTTAGACCTGGTGATTTGGCTCATAATATATTGCATGTATTGTGTCAGCTGGCCAACAGAAAACCCTTTTTCAACCTCTTGCAGATGTCTCGAGCTTTTCCTTCCCCCTTAAATATCCTGTTCAGAATCACCAGCTTCCTACAGCAAGGAACTAGTGATCTGAAACAAAATCATTCAGCAGAGTGAAAGCCTCATTACTTTCCACTTCCTTCAAGCAAACTTGGTCAAGATTTCTGTGAGGAAGGGGTCTTCAATAAATATCTACAGGAAGCAATTTCAGGCTTTCCTCATATGTCACATTACTGAATGTGCCATTTGCAAAAGGTTCACTATCTAATATCAAAAGTCCGTTAGCTTCATATGGTGCCCCCCACAAGGGAAAGCATTGGCTCTACCAAGCATTTTTTAAATATAAAAATGAATACAACAAAAGAAAAACACATGCAGACCATGGATCATATGATTTTCCTCAGCTACATGGAGTAAGCAATGCTGATTTATTGGATTTTTTTTTTCCAGGGTAGTGGGTTGGAGCAGAAAATTTAAAGGCCTCTTTTAAAAAAGCAAATATTCCCAAATCCCTAAAATGAAAAGGAGGTTAAGAAGTAAAGCCTGTTTGCTACAGAAATATCTTAAAGTTTTGAATTCCCAGATTTTCCCTCGGGCATTGGGTCTGGATGGTAATTGAGTCTAGTGTATAAAGCTGTTGTTGTTATTAGATTTTGCTTTTGCTTTTTTTCCAATAGTGTATTGGAAATTTTGCTCAGTCACATTGTATTATTTATATTTAAATCAGGGATATAGATATTTAAGCTATTGTTTTTACTTTTTTGTTATTAGTTGTTGGCTTGTTTTTCAACAGTCACGATTTATTAATTTCTCACCTTTACTGTTTTTTATAAAAACCTCAAGGTAGTGAACACACACCTATTTTCGCCACAACAAAAAGCATGTGAGGTAAATTGGGCTGTGAGAGAGTGACTGGCCCAAGATCGCCCAGCTGGCTTTCATGGATAAGACAGGACTTGAACTCACAACTTCCAGCTTTCTAGCCTGGTGCCTTAACCACTAGACCAAACTCACTCACTATGTTGTCAATTTTCTATGTTTTATGGCTCAACTATGTTGAGATGGGCATCCATTTAAACCATATAAATAAAATAAGTAATCACCCATAGGCTTTGTGGCTCCTACCTAAAACAAAGTCAACAAAGTTGCCCTCCCCAGTCCCAATTCATTATATATAAATTATGAGATGGCAGTCCCAAAGGAGCTTTTATGCAACTGGACTTTCTTGTTTTTCTTTGAAGAGGTTTCACTTGTTATCCAAGTGACATGTTTGTCTGCTTCCCAACATTTCCCAGGATCTATATATTACTACAGTTCACTTTGGCTAGATAATGATCTTGCATATTTTTGTCAAGGTCACTTTCCTTTTGCCCCACAATATCCTACCCCTTCTTCCAAGTATTCTGCTTAAAACTCCAGATTTCAGAGCTGAAGAAGCTTCTTGGATGAGAAGCTAAATGTCTTCAAACAAGAAAGTCCAGTTGCCTGTTGAAAAAGCACTTTTGGGATAACCATGACTTGGATTACTAAGAATCTCCACAGACATATGAGGTGGCAGAATATAAAAGAAATTACAATGTATTACTAGTGATTGTTGTATGATAGAACTTATTATTTTACTGTAATATTGTAATGCATATGAAGCTGGGATGAATCTAGAATTATTTAATCAGAACAAATCTACAACTAAAAAAAATTATCCATAAAACAGAAACTTTAATTTCAATTCAAAGGCAACTTCTATCATTTTAAATATCCACAGTACATACTGGTTATTCATTCTTATTATCCACTTGCTGTACAAATTTTTTTTCAGTTGTTTAACAAGACGTGGGGAGAGAGAAACATTCAGTTACAATTCTCACATCAAATGAGTTTTTATTTCTCTGTGTGTCTTTAAGAAGTATTTCAGTGTTGCACTTCATCATATCTAAATATTATCATCGTGAAGCAGGCGACTTTAAAAAAGGAATACAAAAGGGAAGAAGGGAAAAAAACTACAAGAATACTCCTAGACCTTTCCATCATTACTTCACACCATATGGTTATCATATCATTTATTTGGGATCACTAGAATCAAAGATGCAACTTCTCTTTTCTTCTTCTAATTTTAGTGCTTTTCCTCAAAGGAGACATTAATGACAAAAACCATATGGTTGTGGGAACACGGGCCTTAATAAGTGCATTGAAATGCTGCTGTAACAATATGCATTAAAGTCTTGTTTTCATTAAGCTAATGTAACTCACAGACCCTCAGTTCCATTTTGCATTTATGGAGAAACATTTACTGGAAGGATATTAGACACTGTTCTAATTACCTAATCTGGCACCAGAATTAGAGCAAGCAAAATTGCTTTGCATTACCATATTTTAAAAAAAATTGGCAGGAGATGTTTATGGAGTCAGTAAATTAAACAGAGTACTAAGGGAAAGAGTGCATGTATTATGTCATTTGTATGTATACATTTGTTAATGGTCATGTATATGTCTCTCATTACTTACTTGCTTATGTAGCTATGCATATTTAATCTATCAATTATAACATAATTTAATATATTTCCCAATCCCAATAGGTATTTTAAGTACAAATTTCTCTAATTATAAGTTCTTTTTTCTTATTAATTAATATTAACTTAAAACAAGTTTTCAGCAATTCTTTGTGAATGTGCTTGATTTAATTCAATTTTAATAAAATATTAGAAGCTTATGGATCGCATCATTCCATTGCAAAGCTTGTTTATATTTTGTGACCGGGATTTCTTTTTCAAACACATATTAAGCCCTTTTCTGGGGATGAGCCAAAGGAGCCTGGCCAAAAACATCTGCATGCAAGATGTCTAGCACATGATATCATTTTCCTAAATACCATTTGGGAATGATATTTAAAGACTGCATAGATGCATTCATATGCAAGGCTGAAAACCCTGCCTACATAGTGCCAGGAAGAAAACTTTGGTACAGATGGGAAGAGAATAGCAAGTAGATATGAGTGGGCTTTTAGATGTATGTCCATATACTAATGTGAGTTCTGCCTATGCTATTTCAAGATGAAAACTTCAGAAAAATTCATGAAATTAATATTAATTTATAATCCTGTTTCATTATCTGGTAGAAGGGAATGAAACTTTTAATGCCTGTGAGAAGATAAATGTGGAAGCTTCCAATATGGGCACAAATAAGGAATGCACATGATGAAAAAGCCACCCAGAAGTTTTCTTGTTCACGTTTATAAATACACACACACACATATAGAACTTCTTTGGCTTCTTTGAATAACATTTTTTTTTAAAACAATCACTTATTAAATTAGATCTCTAGAATTAGTTAGCATAGGAGAATACAACATATGATGGATTCTGCAGCAAACAACCACCCTTTCAACAAGCTGAAAAACATGCCTGCTGAAATTTATCACATGGTACCTACTGCAGACAACTCACATCATATCACATTCAGCACAAAACATGCACATTAACAGAGTTGGAAGGGACCTTGGAGGTCTAGTCTAACCCCCTACTCCAGCAGTTGTTTAATTTTTCCTGCAAAATCCAAGTTTCATTAGACAATTCTTGATTTGGACGTGTGAGATAACGAATTTTCATAGCAGACAGAAAATTATAGAAGCTCTGTGAGTCTTTTAAGATCACAGAGAAAGTTTTATTTGCTCTTTAAGAACTCTCCTCTCTCCCTCCCTCCATGTGTGAGTGTGTGTGTACATATCTTTCTTTCCTCTCCTATCATCCTGTTCTGCCAAAGAGACCTTCACATTCCCCCAAGCACACTGCAGTATTTTTCCCCATTCCTGCCTGGGGCTGAACACAGCAGCTGGAGAAAGGCCAGATGGTCACAGAGGAGAGAGATGTTTGTTGTTCAGTAATTGCAAAGCATATGATAGTTTTTCTTAGCCAGGAGAGTTTTGCTTTCCACGCTCCTTTCTAGAAAAGCCCCATTCAAAGCTTTGTGTTATTGGCAAAGGTACCAAATCATGGTTTGTTGACACTGTAACTATGTTTCAGTTTTGATAGAATTTATTTTTTTCATGTTATCAATGTTTAACACTGGGGCAAAAGACGAGGATTTTAGCCTTCACAGGCCCAGTTTTCTCCTGGTGTGTTGGGATTAGACATTGCAGAATTTTGCAGTGTCTAATCCCAACACATCAGGAGAAAACTAAGTAATCTACGCAGACAAGTCATGTGGGAAGTAATTGAGAAAAATTGTTTTACATTCCATTTTTATCTACATATTGTAACTGTCCTATTGCTCCTTTTTGTCAACTCATAAAGCATTTTGTATGCACGTTTTATAACTGACAACAGAAAGAAGGGGAGGGAGTAACTGCCAGAACCCTGACACTTTTCTGTTGTTCCAGGCCAATTTGCCCCTGCTACAGCGGGAGCTCCTACATTGTGCAAGGCTGGCCAAGCAAAATCCCGCCCAGTACCTCGCTCAGCATGAGCAGCTGCTTCTGGATGCCAGCACCACCTCACCTGTTGACTCCTCAGAGCTGCTTCTCGATGTGAACGAAAACGGGAAGAGGCGAACTCCAGACAGGTAAATATCTATGAGCATTCCTTCCAGGTGAACCGTCTTTGCAATGTTCATTTTGTCTCAATACTATGCCTTCTTCTCCCTGCACAAATATCACAGATCTCCATCATCCAGCAAAAAAGCATGAAAGTTCTTTCAGTGCGTAAAGATGGGTGGACGAGCATGAGCAAAGTAGACTGATGGATGGATGGGAATGGAATGTGTTACTTTTAGCTTTAGCCCAGGAGAAGACTGGCATACAGTAAAAAAATAAAATAAGCTACAGTCAGAAAATGCAGCCCTTGGAGTAAAACTATCCACTCTACCTTTATTGGACAGAAGGGATTTCAGTGCATTGAGTCACTTTGACTGCTGTTTCAAAATGTTTAAAGAGGAACTGTTAAAGAGAAAATGAGAGTCTGTTACCACATTTTATTGGAGTCACGTAGATAGAAAAAATGTGTTGCACAAAAGGGAAGTGGATTTTGATTTAGCACTTTTTATAGATTATGAAGCAGTTTATAGTAATAGCACAGTTGTTGTGATGACCCAGGGTGGGATACAAAAGCAACAAAGTCACAAAAACAGGTGAAGTCCCTTTAATTCCTTCAACTTGGTTTTAAATGTCCAATTATCACTGACTGGAGAAAAAAACTCCCCCACAAACAGTTGCAAAAAGGAAGAACTTCAGTTCAAACTCAAAAACATATAAATTATAAATAGGAAAAAAAAACACAAACCACACTGAGCAATTAAGGAGACCAGGCAGGATAAGGTCTTTAAGATGTCCACAGATATTGAAATACACACACTGGGAAGGACGCCAGAACTCAGATAAGAACTGACAAGACTAGAAATATTTTCACGCTTTGCTTCCAGCACTAGCCCATGTGCAGTTTGTCTTTTTAAACAGTCTTCACAGCTGCAGCACATGAAGGGGATCAAGGCCCTTTCCTCCCCCGTAGACCATGCCATTCACATTTCTACCTTATCCGCTTCTCCCTGCATACCCTAGGATGAAAAGGGGATGGGCCTGGGTTTTCCTCTGAATGCCCAGCCAGCCTGTGCCCTTCCCCAGTTTCCTCAATAAACCTCCAGAGCCACACTCCCACTCCCTGTCGGCTGTTCCTCCTCTCCCTCAAAGTCAGATTCTAACAGGTTCATGACAGTTGTCATTGTTAACCCACAGTTTCTACATTGGAGCTAATCTAACAGTGAAATGTACGATTATTATTGAATTCAACTGTAGCATATATATTATTTTGCAAATTATGTAAACATACTGGGTGTGATTTAATTTGCAGTGAACACAATTTTCACATTGAAGAATGCTTATGCTCTAAAAAAGATCCACTTCTTTACTTCCAATGTCTCCATTGAGTCCATTAGAATATATGCAACTTGAACTACCCAGAATGTGGGGGAAAGTATACAGAATTGCCTTTTATCAAAATATCTTACAGTAATGTAATGGTTGACTAAAATTCCTATATATTCCATATTGGCCTGCACATGATTGTCATATTTGACATATTTGGATAAATGTGCTGAATATATTGAAATATCAGATCTTGCACGTGTAATAAGCTAATGTAATAAGGGTCTCAAAGTTGCAGCCTTGTATAAAATATATTGAATGACCACCTGCTGGGTGGCCCATAGACAGTACTCCAAGAAGAGCAGCAAGCAAAGATTACCTGTTGGGTGGTTTTGGATCACCACAGCATGTCTCCTGGACACAGTAAGATCTGGTTGGCTGGGCTCCACAGATGTGCTGCTCATTAGTTTTCCACTCCATGGCAGGTTGTGCTTTGGAGACAGTGCCACACTTTCTTAGCAGGGTGGCAGGGAATCAACACTTCTCTATAGACAACAGGCCAAGATGGTTGAGCTGCTTGAAAGAGAGAAGAAGGAAGTAGTCAAAGAGGAAGGAAGCTCTGGCCTCCAAGTCTCTTTGTTGGGGACGGGTGGGACAGACAGTAGAAAGCAAGAGCTCTCTGCAGGGAGAAAAGGAAAGGAGAGGAGAGGAGAAGAGAGGAGAAGAGAGGGGAGAAAGATGGAAAAGAAAAATAAAAAAGATTGTGTGCAGCTGTTAGTTAAATACCATTTAAGTAGCAAAAGTGAAATTTTGTTTGATTAGTGAAATAGTTTGATTGTTAGATTGTCATGCTTCTAACTCCTTCTAGACCTCCAGGGGCTTACAATAGTGCAGTGGTGGCTAACCTTTTTGGGCTCCTGTGGCAAAAATTGTCCACATGCTTGCACACTTGTGCTCGCGTGCCAGCACCCAGAAGGCAATGCACACCTCCCATGCCCCTACACATGTGTGCACAATCCCCACTCCCCACCCCTGCTGCCCCCTTACCTGCACTGCACCTCACAGCTGATTTTCAGCTGGTTTGAGGCCTTTTTTGGCTTCCCAGAGGCTTTCGGAAGGCTTCTGCAGGCTTTTCAGGATGAAAACTAGGCCCGTTTCGTCACTTCCGGTATTTCCGGAAAAAGAGGAAGTGATGAAACGGGCCTGGTTTTCATCCTGAAAAGCCTGCAGAAGCCTTCCTAAAGCCTCTGGGAGGCTGAAAAGGCCTCAAATGGGCCGAAAATCAGCTGTGAGGCTCGCCGCATGCACAGTGAAGTAAGTTTGCCTGCAGCTCATGTGGCGGCACAAATGGCTCAGTATTCCACCTGTGGCATGTGTGCCATAGGTTCGCCATCACGGCAATAGTGCACATCATGCAAAATTCAGTAAGTCCCTGGGTTAACAACATTCCACTTTAAGGAAGACTCGTAGTCTAGAAAGGAGCCTATTGTAGCAAAGTTTGTGTTTAATATACAATGATTCAAGTTAAAATAGAATAGAATAGAATAGAATAGAATAGAATAGAATAGAGCAGAGCAGAGCAGAGCAGAGCAGAGCAGAGCAGAGCAGAGCAGAGCAGAGCAGAGCAGAATACTTTATTGGTCAAGTGTGATTTTGTCTTTTGTCAAGGAATTTGTCTTGGTGTAAATACTCTCAGTATACATAAAGAAAAGGTACATTCGTTAGGAATCAAGATAAATAAATGTTATTTAAATACACAATGGTTCAAATTCATTATACTACTTATACAATAATACTGTTCCAGCTTACATACAATTTAATTGAAGGACAGACTTTGGGTACAGAACTCATTATTAAACTGAGGACTACCTGTAATAAAATACCATGGTAACCTGAACAAAATCCATATAAAATATAGAGTATACTAAGAAAATCAATCATAATAATGCAATATAAATATACTGTACAAAATAAAAGTTTAAATATACTCAGTACTCAAAGCCCCATGAAAGAATTCAGTTGTTCTGAATATCACAATCATGGGCGATCAAGGTCCAATTTTTAGTAAGACTGTTCTATAAAATAGGTAAAATAATTTTAAAAAATATTTTTGTCTGACCTCACTTCTCTCATCTCAAAAAAATGGGGAATCACTAGCAATTTTCCCAGAAGGATCACCTCTGATGGGTCAGCATAATTTAAAGCAGATAGTCCAACAGATGTCATTATAAACATATATTTAATGGCACATTATGATATTCTTCAGGGACGCGGTGGCTCAGTGGCTAAGACACTGAGCTTGTTGATCAGAAAGGTCGGCAGTTCAGTGGTTCGAATCCCTAGCACTGCGTAATAGAGTGAGCTCCTGTTACTTGTCCCAGCTTCTGCCAACCTAGCAGTTCGAAAGCATGTAAAAATGCAAGTAGAAAAATAGGGACCACTTTGGTGGGAAGGTAACAGTGTTCCTTGAACCTTTGGTATTTAGTCATGCCGGTCACATGACCATGGAGACATCTTTGGACAGCGCTGGCTCTTCGGCTTTGTAACGGAGATGAATACCGCCCCCTAGAGCCGGAAACAATTAGTATGTATGTGTGAGGGGAACCTTTACCTTTACCTATGATATTCTTCACTTTTGACCCATGAGATGTATGGAAAACCTCTCAAACTCTAATAGCTGCACTCATTACAGTCTGAATTTGAGACCCCTAGATCAGATCATGCCATAAGAATGTTTTAAAAGCTGTACTTTTTAATTGTTCGTTTGACTCTCAGACTTAATCCAAGTGCAGTTATAAACCCTACTGGTTTCTCTACTAATTTGAATTTCTCTGGTTCTTTGGCCATGTAGTTTGTTACTAATTTCTTGCTTAATTTTTTTGATTGTAGCTTTCTCTGCAAGATTATTTTAAAATACTATTTGTTGATAAAGCTTCTTTAATTTGACTACTTTTGTGTAAAACATGAAGCCAAGATATGTAAGAATTGGTTGGCAGAGTTCATTGAATTATCTAGAAGGAAAACTGATTTTAGTTAGACAACGTAACAGTTATAGGTGATCCAGTTAAATAACAATTTTAACAATCTTTTATATAGTCAGGATCAAATGCTCATGGGATATTAGTCCACATTGAGATTAACGTACTTAGTGAAAGGCAGCATTTTCAATTCAACTAGAATCAGAGATTGTATCATAGCCAAAGCAGCAACAATATTTATACTTCAGGCATACAAGAGAAGACAACTTTACAGAGGTCCAAATATTCGAGGCTATGCTGAAGTTTGTGGATCCAGACCAATAAACTATATCAGACCATCCTCATAAGTTTTTGCATAGATGCATAATTATGGTGCCAAAGTGATTACCAACTTCTCAGTGACACTATTAATCTCACCCCCATAGTATCACATATTTAACTTTTTTCAATTTTCCTTTCATTTCATTGACAACCAAGACAAATTTTGATTTCATTCCTTGTGCTTGTTCACTTTCTGTTCTGCAATGAGAGCATTACTTTGTGAATCTCACAGATTATTTGGACTGTAACTTTAACTTGAATTATTACATTTGGATGTCATGAGAAGACAGAATGCACTCATGTTGTTGTTGTTTCAGTTCTTCATACCATCAGAAATGTTTTAACAAACCAAAGAAATACCTTATATAGCATATAATCAACTGTAGTCTATTGTAGATTTTGAAAAA